GGAGTCCCAAGGGCGCCATATTTTTCTCGGCCTGGCGCCCGCAGGCGCGGCGTTGGTGGCCGCCGACCAGCGCTCCCCCCCCAAGCCTCCTCAGGGGCAGCGGCAGGGGCAGCAGCAGGGAGAGGGCAGCGAGGCGGAGGGAGCGGGAGAGGGCAGCGCCGACGGCCAGTCGTGCAGCGAAGGAGCAGGAGCACGGGCCACCAGTGGGCACGAGGCCCTCAAAATCAGACGAGCTTCTTGCCCGTCTTGGGGTGTTTAACAGCTCTGAGGAGGGAGATCGGAGGAAGAGGTTGCCGATGCAGCTACCCTTGCCTCGTTTTGGCCCTCTTGGCTCTGGGGCCTCTTTGGAGGCCATCGTCGGCACGGCTGGGTCGGCCTCGAAATTCTGGTCGAAATGCACCCCGGAAGAGGTCTGGGGAGCAGCGGCTTCGGTATTTGTTTGTTCGGCGACGAGGCGGGGCATGTGAGGGGAGGTGGTAGGCTTCGGGCTGTGCACAGACAGCGCCCCCAGGTAGTCCCAGCTGGCCTCATCGGGGTACCGATGCAGCCACCCTTGCCTCGTTTGCGCCTTCGTGGGCGTTCCTTGGAGGCCCTCGTCGCCGCGGCTGGGTTGGCCTCGACATTCTAGTTAGAACGAGGTCCGGGGAGGAACGACATCGGTATCTTTTGGGCGACGAGGTGGGGGATTGGAGGGAAGGTGGTAAGGCTGGGGGTTGCACATAGACAACCCCCCGAGGTAGGCCCAGCTGGCCTCAGCAGGCCCCCCTCGTCGTCACAGCTGGCCTCAGCATGACCTCCGAGTAGTCTGGGGCGGTCTCAATGAGGCGTTGTCCCTGGTGCGCTCCACGCCCTAGAGTTGAGGTGTCTCGACCGCCCTGGACTAGTCCGTGGGCCTGTTGAGGCCAGCTGGGACTACTTATCTGGGGGGGCTGTCTATGCGCAACCCGAAGACTTGCCAGGGCGAGTCGGTTCAGGGGGGACGACGGGTTCGAGGTTCGAGGTTCTCGGGCGTTTTCGTCGGTCCTCGGCAGTTTCCCAGACTCGGGATGCATTCCAGCGAATTCGCCTCGCCGAGGGCATTCTCGGGGTGCTCGGATCGTCCAGAACGTCCGCCCAGGGCCCGCGTTGTGACCCGAGAGCCACCAGGGGACCAGACTGCGGGGAGGATTCATCGCCCCCCAATCCTTCATATCGCCGCTTGGGCCACGATAGCCCACCCCGCCCAGAAGCGTGCGGAGTCGGTATCAGACAACGAAGGGGGGGGGGTTGGCTCAGGGGTGGGGGAGTCCTCTCCTCCTCTGCCTCCTCCCCCTGGCGGCGGAACTTTTTGGGGCGCCTAGGCGGCATCAGCGTGTAGAGCCCGTGGCGAGTGGGCATCTTCGCCCGCGCTCGGTGTCCCCATCATTATTTCTCCCCGTCTTGTACCTTCCTCACCTCATGATCACTCCCACTACTCATGTTATGTGTTTCTCATCCTCCTCGTTATCCCCCCTCCCTTCATCCCTTCTCATCGCCCCTCCTGTTTTTGATAATCACCTTCACATCATCATGAGCATCGTCATCATTGCTTCCCCCTTTCAGTGCGGATTCCTCGACCGCCTCCTTCATCTCCGTCCTTCCATCTCCATGCGCAATCGAGCGATGCCCACCTGTCCGAACGTTTTGTCAAGCAGGCAACGCGTGCCACTTTGCACTTGGAGTCTGATTTTCATCGTGGGGCCTCTCGGATCTGCCGCCAGCCCCCAGTTCACATGATGGTGGAGAGATGGTTACAAGGGGCAGGCGGAGGAGAAAGACAGTGCGGATGGCAAATGGACGCGGACGGATGTGAGGAGGATGAGCACGACGAGGAAGAGGAGGAGCGATGTGGAGGAGAAAGAGAAGGATGAGCCGGAAGAGGAAGGGCAGGAAGCGGAAATTGGTGTGCGGGAGAGTGAGGGAGGAGGGGGAGGGGGCAGGAGGATTCGGAAGAGGGAGGGCGTGAAGAATGAGGAGGAAGACAAGGATGAGGGGGCATCACGCTGCCTGCAGTCGGAGAGCCGCCCGCGGACCTTCCTCGGCTTGCGTCCGCTCCTCCTGCTCGTGCTCCTGCTCCTGCTCCCCCTACGGCGGTGCCGACGAATCCCGACTAGCACCCCCCAGCACTAGAGAGGACTGGCGGCCAGTCCAGGGTTCACGCTCGTATGAGTGCGCTCAGCGGCGCCCCTGCAGGGTCCGTTTCGATCCGATCGATCCGATTTCGATATCGGCTCTGGCTGGCCCGATTGGATCCGATTTCGATGTTCCGACGATGCGATGCGGCCCGATGTTTGCACGGCGTTGTTGTGCATCTTGGCGCAACCGATCCGATTCGATGTCGAATCCGTGCCGATGCGGGCCGATCCGATGGACATTTCGACTCGACTCGAATTACCGATTCGATGCTGACTGATCTTGCTTCGATCCCTCTCCTGTTTCCGCTCCCCATTCCCTCTGCTTGCCTCCTGATCCTCCAGGCGAGGCTCACTGCGGGGCCACGGGATCATTAGCCATGCGCTCGTTGCTTTCCCGATATGTCTATTGGGCCATTTCGAGGGCCGCGTTGCGGCCCCTTCGGTACTTCTCATCAAGATGCGGTCGTCTACACATTGAGAGGTCGGTTCACGTAGATTCTCCTCCATTCATTTTCCGTCCTCATTGATCCAGAGGCTCAAGACATGCCGCCGACCCTGGAGAGGTGGTATGGGCGAGTGTAAGTAGTTCCGAATCTTGCATCCCCAGAAGCCCATGCAGAAACAATGACGCGAGCAGTCAAGAGAAGGAAAACGTACACGCTTATCGTCTGACAATAAATGCCAAAGATGTTGAAAGTAGAGAAATCTGGGAGCTCGTTGGGGTAATATTGGAGGTCTCGAGGGGCCCCTTCTGGGAGCAGTTGGTGCCCTCTTGAGGGTTTTCAGAGGGCCTTCCTGGGGTCCCTGATGATCCTGTTGTCGTCGGTCCAAGACGGGAGGGTCCTAAGTTTGGGACCTCCGCCCGGACTCGAGCGTTCGCCTGTCTGGGCAATCTTGGGACGCTGATGGGTACACTTTGGATGGGCCCTCGGGGCTGCATCTGAGCGATGATTCGACTGGGGGTTCGACTACAGATACCCCAAAATTGATTTTCGCGTCGACTCGTCAACAAAAATACGTCAACCATTCGTAGATCTGCGAAAGTTCTACGAATTGCCCGTGGATTCGACAAGAAAAATCCTTTCTGGGGCAAATCAATTCTGTAGTCGACCCCCTACTCGAATGATGGGCCCTCTTCGGTGGTTTTGGAGCCGTCTTGAGGCATCAGAGGCCCATTGGAAGCAACAGCAAAGAAGCCCGTCGGAAACAAGCAGCGAAGACGTAAACATCACTGAACAGCTATCACGCGTTTAGGTTGTTCAATGGCTTTTGCCGCCTCGGGGTGTCCCTTGAAGGCTCCGCGGCCACGTGGAGACGCCGTGGGGCCCCTTCCCGTGTAGGAGCTCGTCTAGAGCCGTCTCGGAGGTCATCTGATCAAGGGGTCCCAGACTCCCAAGACTCGGGCAGATTGGAGGCGCGAGAAATTGGAGTTGAAGGCTCTGAGGCCCTGAGTGGCAGTCTGGATCCCGGTGGAGAAGGGAAGGGGAAGAGGGTTCATCTTCCCAATCCTATCCGTCTCTCAAACTCTGCCCTCCTCTTCCTCCTTTCCCTGCCTCGCCACAAGTGCCTGCTTGCCGCCATATCATCGCACCTCTGGGTGTTCCGATACAGTCGGCCCGGATTAGTGGGTCGACCTTGCCAGCTCAAGGGTACCCTTGTGTCTTGTGCCCCGCGACATGTGCCTTCTCACACTCCAATGGCGATGCGGCCTTCGGAAGGGTCATGTGTCCTCGCGCGCGTCCTCTCCAATGAAGTTCGACTGTAGAGCCGATACAAGCGCTCGCGCGTACCGTGTCCGACACGCTCTTCGGACCCACGGGGGGGGAATCGGCGGAAGTGGGATCGTGTGCCAACGACCGCCTGAAAATGCTGCGCTCCGATCTGGGCTCGCGGCTGCCGCCTCTCCGTCCCCGCCCTACGCTTAGGTTGGGCCTGTCCCTCTACAGGAGGAGAATTCAAAAATAGACAAAAAATACTCTGGGGACGATGTTTTAAGCATTTGCTGCCCATTTGGATGTAATTTTACGGTGTTTTTAATTTTTCGCCCAAAACCCCTTGTAGGGGGACACGCCCAACCTAACCCTACGCTGAGAAAATTTACCTGTGAGCGCGAATGGCAAGGACGAGTAGCACTCCGAAGGGAACCCTTGCAGTTTGCCTCTTCGGCCCACCACTGTCCAGTCCTTAATTCAGGAAGCCTCAATTCGTACGTTCTCGGGACCGGGACTGGAAGCAGAATCCCTCGGATGATGGGGAAGGGGGGGAAGTCTTGGGAGCCGGAGGAGGAGGAGGGTCCCCTTCCCCCCGCCCCCTCCCGTTAGACTGTCGCCCATTCATCGCCGATAGGGGCCCGCTCAGCAACGCGGGGCGCCGTTATCGAGGGCCGATCGCCGATCTATCGGCCATGTGTTGCTGATTCGAGCTCGATGCTTTCCCCCGTGAGCAGGTCCCCCCCCCTCCGTTGCCCCTCATCTCCTGGCTTCGCCGAGCAGCGTTCAGCGGCACCCGTGGTTCCTGGCCGTGGCTCTCCACCACCCACCCCTCCTCTCCTCTGGTGCCGGCCTCTCTCGTCCAAAGAAGGAGCAGGACGAGGACAGGAGGAGGGAGGTAGGAGAAGGCAGAGGAGGACGAGGAGGACGAGGAGCACGACGACGACGACGACGAGGACGGGGAGGGAAATGGCAGGATGGTGACGAAGGAGTGTTGGTTCACGTGCTCGGGATGGTGTCCCACAGTGCGGGGGTCTCCGGACGTCCGCAGAGGCTACATGTCGGATGTCTTCGCATGCCCTCGGATGTCTGATGCGTGTGGGCGGAAGACCGAGAGGGGGAGGAGGGAGGCGGGTCCAGCCGCGCTGGCTCGGCCCCCTCTCCCCCGCGCCGCCCCGGGGCGCCCACCGAAGCTCACTCGAGCCGCCTGGCTCGCATCCCGCGCGCCGCCCCCCATGCGCGCGCCACCGCCGCGCCTCTGGCTGGCGGCTGGCGTCGCCGCCGCCTGCTGCGGGCGCGCTCGGGCCAGCGGCGCGGGAGCCGGCGACCCCCTGGACGGCGCCAGGCAGGCGGTGGCCGGCCGCCTCCGCCGCCTGCAGGCGCAGCAGGCCGTGGAGGCCCGGGCCCGCCGCGCTGTGCGCGTCACGGACGGCACGCCCGCACTGGTCGGCCACGCGCGCTAAGGGGGGCAGCTTGTCAGTCGGGGGTGGACAGGCCTCCTGCTCGGACACGTCGATTCAGGAATGGGCCGTTTTCGGTTCGCGAGAGGGCGTCGCGGCCGTCGTTTGTGCGGGTCCAGGTCCGTCGGGTTCGGTCCCAGGCCGTTTTCACTAAGGGGAGGTTTACTAAAGGGAGGTTTGTCCACCGCCGAGTAGCTTGTCAGCGGCAGAGGGCAGACGGGGGGAGGTAGGCATAGGGGAGGATGCATCGACCCCCCATCGCCTATTGATCGCCGATAGGGGCCCGCTAGCCCCAACCTGCCCAGGAAGGTGTGGATTCACCATCGGAGGCCCATCGCCGATCTATCGGCGATGTATCGCCGACTCCAGGTCGATGCATCCTCCCCTATGCCAGTCCCCCCCGATCGTTGCCCCTCAGCTTGGCATCGCTCGGACGTGTGCATGTTTTGCCCGGCGAGGACCATCGAGGAGCATCTTGGATCATGTCGCAACAAACAGAGCACAGAAGACGGAAAGTGCACGGGGAATGGACGTCCGAGCGATGGCAAGATAGGGGGAGGGGGGAAGGCTCCTTAGAAGCACCCTGCTTCTAGCAAGCCTTCCCCCCTCCCACTACATACCCCCTTGTGCGCACGGCCAGAATGCGTGCGGAAGAAATGTGCACGATGCCCAACAGCAAATTTGATTCAAGACCGACAGGGGCTGCTGTTGGACGGGCGAGCGTTTGTCTCAAATGGGCGACGCCCGCGGCGACACGGACAGCGAATCCTGTTCAAAAAAAATGAGCAGGGATTGTGCTCTGGCCACGATTCTTCACCACGTTACATGTTTTCTCGCCGCCGCACCTGGCACGCTCTGCGCGCCAGGGAGGGGGTCCAGCGCAGATCTAAATTAGCCTGGCGAGGGACCCAACCATATGCAGTTGTGAATACCGCAGTTGTAGGTATCGACTTCGGTGGAGCCCCCTTGTAGGGCCACGAAACGCTATATTTGGTGGGGGAAACACATACGGACTGCGCCACTGGGACCTTCGGTGGAGCTCCCTACGGGGCCACGAAACGCTGTACTGGGTGTGGGAGACGCATGCGGGCTGCGCCGCTGGGACCTTAGTTAGGGTGGAGCTCCCAATGGGGCCACGAAAAGCCGTACTGGGTGTGGGAGACGCATGCGGGCTGCACCATTGGTACCTTCGGTGGAGCTCCCTATGGGGCCACGAAGCGCTGTACTGGGTGTGGGAGACGCATGCGGGCTGAGCCGCTGGGACCTTCGGTGGAGCTCCCCATGTGGACACGAAACGCTGTACTGGGTGTGGGAGACGCCTGCGGGCTGCGCCACTGGGACCTCCAGTGGAGTTCCCTACGGGGCCATGAAACGCTGTACTGGGTGTCGGAGACGCATGCGGGCTGCGCCACTGGGACCTTCGGTGAAGCTCCCTGGGGCCACGAAACGCTATACTGGGTGTGGGAGACGCACGCGGGCTGCGCCACTGGGACCTTCGGCGGAGCTCCCTATGGGGCCACGAAACGCTGTACTGCGTATGGGAGACGCACGCGGGCTGCGCCGGTGACGCCCCCCCGACGCCCATTAAGAAACTCGGAGTACAGCCTGGTAGCCCCACAAGGGGGGCCGCGGATTAAAATCCGAGGTGATGGGACGCTTCTTGCGTCTTGGGGCTTCCTCGGCAGTCGTCTCGGAGCCCTCTTGGGGCGTCCTGCGAGGCCCCTCGGTAGTCTCGAGACCATCTCGGTCGCCGTCGTCGTCGAGAATTCCTCCGGGTGTTGGACTTCAGCTTGAGGGAGACGTTCGAGGGTTGTCGGGCCATGGTGTGTGGGAAGGCTCCGGAAACTGTTGAATTCTGTCTTTCCTTAGCGTCTTGGGGGCTCTGGGGGGCATCTGGGGGACTTCTTCGGGGCCTCGTGGGAGCTTCCTGGGGGCCTCTGGGGGCTGGCTCGTGGGACCATCTTTGGGAAAAGACTCGACATGTCAGTTCGAATTCTCCCTCTCTGGCGCCTGTCGGGGCTCCCTTGGGGCTCGCCTTGGCCGTCTAAAGGGGCACCAGGAGCCGTCTTGGGGCCCTCTGGGGCAGCTCTGGTGGTCTCTTGGAGGCCTTCTGGGTCGCCTTGGGACCATCTTGGGAGCATTTTGGGCCGTCTTGGACGCTGAGAAGACGCAAAGACGGGTACGCTAAAAATGTACGCTGTTCCTAGGGATTGGGACGATGTTGGCTTCGTGGGGCCTTCTCGGCAGCCATCTGGGAGCACTCATCGGGGCTTCGTGAGCCCTCTCGAGGGCATCTCGGACCGTCGTAGGACTACCCTGGGCCGTCTCGATGCTCTCTTGGACTATCTGGGCGCGCTGGTTGGGCTCTCTGGGGCCTTCCTTTCTGGATGTGTTTTGAGGCCCCGAGGCCTCAGGAGAGCTCGTCCACCTGATCACCCCTGGCAAGCAGAGGTCGGCATCGTGGGCCGCCTTGTCCACTGTGCGGCCATCTTGGGGCGTCTTCGAGGCATATTGGGCAGTCTTGGTGCCCTTGCTTGCCTGCACGGGCCGTCTTGGAAGCTCGGGGCGCATATCCAGAATCGTGGCTTGCGAGGCCGAGCGCATGAGAGTAGCGCCTGGGAACGCAAGACGTGCACGATCCTCGAGCGGGTGCGCGTGGGATGAGGGGTCTAGGAGGTGTCAGCCATGCGAGAAGTGCGCAATCTTCGAGCGGGCGCTCATGGAATGAGGGTTCAGGCATAAGCTGCTGTGCGGGAAGTGTATCATCCTCGAGCGCTCACGCGTGGAAGGCGATTTCAGGCATCAGCCGCCATGGGGGAAGTGCACGATCCTCGAGCGGGTGCGCTTGGAATGGGGGGTCAGGCATTCGCTGCTATGTGGGGAGTGCAGCATCCTCCAGCGGGCACGCGCGGATTGGGGGATTAGGCATTAGCTGCCTTGCTGGAAGTGCACCATCCTCGAGCGTGCACGAGGGAAGAAGCCTCGGTGAGTAGTGGGGATGCACGCAAGAGCCCGCTGGTAGAGAAAGGAGCTGTCCCTTGTCAGAGTCCACGAAACCCTACCATGCAGACTTTGGCATTCTTCCACGTCTCAACGTGCCAGTGGGCACGGTGGTGGATCTCATGGCGATAACGGGCGTGACCAGGGGGTGGGGAGAGGGGAGAGGAGGCCGGTCACGTCATGATGCGTGCCAGCGCCGTTTGGGAATGTCCAGGAATCGTTGATTCTCAAACGGCGCCGGCGCGAATCGTGACGTGATCAGGGTGGGAGAGGTGGGAGGTGGGGGGGGACGGGGCCGGTCACGGGCAGCGTTATCGCGAATAGCAGAGAGGAGAAGGAGCAAAACAAAGCAACAGCAAAAACGAACTCCCAGTCGAGGCCGGGCCCGCCGCGCTGTGCGTGTCGCAGAAGGCCGAGTGCGCGAGGAACATCGCCAGGACTCAGGCCGTCGAGGGCGAGAGGGCCCGGGCGGTGCGGGCGGCCGGCGGCGACGCGGACGGGTGCATCTCGGGGGCCCTGAGACGGGGGCCGATGCAAACGTTGTGAGGAGCATCCTGGAGGCCTCGCGCGGCGCGTAATAGTAGTATGATCTAGTCCATTTGTCAGTTCAGTAAGCTATCCAGGATGTTCCTCCTAACAAACAGGGGTCAGTCAGAGCGCTGGATCTTGCCGGATCCTGCTGTGCCAGGGTTGCACTGGCCCGGGCTTGTGTGCAGGATGCTGCGGGATCGATCCTGCAGGATCCTGGCTGACCCAGGTTTGCATTGACCTGGGTCAGTGGAGCCCCGAGCATCTACGGCGGCGCGGAGCCCTCTGCGGGGTGCCACGAGCTGAGGGAGGCCAGGAGGAGCTCTGAGACCAGGGGCAACGCTAGGGTTTCGGGATCGAGATTCGAGGGTTTCGGGCGTGTTCGTCGAATCTCGACGGCTTTCCAGCCTCCGGATGCCTTCCAGCGGCTGCGACTCGCCGAGGGTGTTCTGGGGGGGGGGTGCCCAGATCGTCCCGAACGGTCCCCGGGGAGCCGAGTTATGACCCGAAAACCAGGAAGTTTTGTTAATGGGGTACATGCTCAGAGGGGGACGCATCGACGCCCAATCGCCTCGCCGATAGGGGCCCGATGGCCCACCACTCCCAGGAACGTGCGGGGTCGATGTGGAGGGCATATTCCCTATGTATCTGCGATTCCAGGACGATGTTGCCCCCCATCAGCCAGTACCGACGGCCCGCGCAGATTTCTTAGATTGGCGCTGGGTCCCCCCCTTCCCTAGCGCGCGGAGTGCGCCAGGGGCGGCGCCGGAGGCGCCACCCGGGGGGGCCCAGCGCCGATCCGAGAAATCCTCGCGGCCCGTCGAAAGCTTATGATAGTAGTGGTTGAGTCGGGCGTGTCCAGGAGACATATTCAAAAATAGTCAAAAAATAGTCAGGGGACGATGTTTGATTATCTTATGTACATGTTGGGCGTATTTGTCCGTGTTTTTTTCTTCAATTGTTCGCCCAAAGTTCCCCTGTAGTGGAACAGGCCCGACCTCATAGTAGTGCCTCTTTGCTATTCGAGGAGCGTCGACATGTACAGGCGCGAGATGGAGGCGCTCGTCCGCGGCTGCGCGTCCGCCCCCGAGTCCCACGAGGCGCGCGCCCAGCGCAGGCAGGACCAGCTGGACGGCCTGCACGAGGCCCACCGCCTCCTGAGGTGACGCCGCGCTCGGCGGGGGCGGCGGAGACCCGGTGGACGAGGCCCGCCGCGAGGCTCACAACACAACATCAGCATCCTCGTCCTCATCCTCATCCTCATCCTGCTCCTCATCCTTCTGCTCCTCCTGCTCATCCTCATCCTCATCCTCTGGGCCTCCCAAGCGGGGTCCGACCCAATCTGCTCGGACCCCCTTTGCGCGACGCAGAAAAGTGAGGTCGTCTGCGCCGACATTGGCGTGCAAGCTGCCCGCGTGAGGCCACCGCGTAAGGTCGCTGCGTCATCTCGCGTAAGACCCGTCGTTGATCGTCGCGCATTTAAGAGACCACTATGGACGAGGCCAGCCGCGAGGCTCACCGCCCCAGAGACAAATCGCAAAGAAGAGAACAGCATAAGCATAAACTTTCGAGTCGTCCGGGCGGATTTCTTGGATCTGGACCCCCCCCCTCCTCCCTTACTCGCGGAGCGCACAAGGAGCGGCACCGGAGGCGCCGCCAGGGACGCCTCCTGCGCGATGGACCCCTCTGGCGACGCCTCCTGCGCCGCCCCTGGCGCACTCTGGGCGCCAGCGAGGGGGGCCCAGCGCCGATCCAGGAAATCCGCGCGGACCTCAGCAGTTTTTATGTTGCAGCTTCCTCTGCTGAGCATCAGGAGGGAAAGAAACACACAGACACAATTAATCGTCGACTCCCTGGAAAATACGGGAAGATATGGGAAGTGGGGGGGAAGACGAGAACCCAGAAAGTATGTGATACTATAGGGGGATCCTGGGATTTGCGTGCGCATCGTGTCTCCTATGTGTGTGTCCCTGGGCTCCTTTGGAGGACGCGGGCGGCGAGGGCCCCGAAGCGGGCACGGGGGCTGCTCGCCCGGACCCGGCGGGGCGGCCGCGGCCGCGGGCGCCTCGAAGTTTGGCGCGGTTGCCATCGAGTGCTCCCCGGCGCCTCCGGGGGGGGGGTCCTTTGTGGCGGGGTGCCGCCGTGTCTTGGGGTTAGGTCGGGCACGTCCCTCTGCAGGGGAAAATTTCCACAACAGTCCAAAAATAGTCTGGGGACGATTTTTCGAGCATGTTTGACCATTTTTGAGTATTTGTTGACTCTTCTTCATGTTTCTTCCAAAATCCGCCTGTAGGGGGACGCCCGACCTAATCTTGGGGGCCTCTGAGCGGTGTGGCGACACACCTCGCGTGGTTCCAAAAGGGACCCCAGGGGCAGGGGCTTTTAAGACGGGCGATGCCGATGTCTCAAGTCCGCTCGGCTTCGCCCACAAGGTCGCTGCACGACGCTTTCACTCGCACTCTTCGAAGTATCAAATGCGACGCCACGGTCTCAGAAGTCCCCTTCGCTGGCATCCCTTTAGGAACATCAATTCCGCATTGTGAGTCAGTGGGAATTCGAGGTTACCGCACTGCTTGGGGGCTCGGGTCGTTCTCCGAGAACGTCTTCGGCGACTGCAGTTCAGGTTCTGGAGTCGCTCGGAACACTTCCAGGGTGATTTCAGACACACTGACACTCACCGCTCCCAGTTCCAGAAGCAACCTGGAACGCTAGCGGGGTGATGTTCCATTCGGGCTGATTTGGTGGTTTGCACGAGGCCTTATTGGGCTGCTTGCAGAAGGCCTTCATGAGCTGTGTGCAGCAGGACTTATTGAGCTGCTTGCAGGAGGACTTATTGCCCCCCCCCACGTATCCCCGAGAGCACCTGCTGCACCGGGAAGGGCCCTAAGTGGCAAAACACCTTGGAAAGGTTCTGGGGTCAGTTTCCGTTCAGGGCGGCCCCGCGATTTAGTTGGCTGGGCCGAGACAGGAGGCTCCCAAATGTGGAAAATGACGACTTCTTGGGCTCGGGTGCACCCCCCTCTTATTCCCAAGAGCGCCTGCCGCACTGGGGAGGGGTTCGGGAGTGAGTGTCCATTTGGGGCGTTCCCGCGATTCAGCTGGGGAGCCCAGCCGAGACAGAAGGCTCCCCAATAGGAGGTTCCATCTAAAAAATGATTACTGTTAGGGGTCGGGTGCGCCCCCCCTCTTACCCCCGAGAGCGCCTGCTGCACTGGGGGTCTGGGGGGGTCCCAGATGGAAAATCACTCTGGAACGGTCCCTGGTGGATTGTCCATCTAGGGCGTTCTCGCGATTCAACTGGGGAGCCCAGCCGAGACAGAAGGCTCCCCAACATGATATTAATACCATTTGGGAAATGGCGGCTGTTGAGCTCGAGTACACCCACCCCCCCACTTCTCCTCGAGGGCGCCTGCTGCACTGGGGAGGGCCCCAAACGGAAAAACACCCTGGACTGGTTCTGGAGTCAGATTCCATCTAGGGCGGTCCCGCGATTCAGTTGGCTGGGCCGAAACACAAGGCTCCCCAATAAGAGATCCCATGTGGAAAATGACAACTTCTTGGGCTCGGGGGCACCCCCCTCTATCCCCAAGAGCCCCTGCCGCACTCGGGAAGGGTTCGGGGGTGATTTTCCATTTGGGGCGTTCCCGCGATTCAGCTGGGGAGCCCAGCCGAGACAGAAGGCTCCCAATAGGAGGTTCCATCTGGAAAATGACAACTTTCTGGGCTCGCATACACCCCCCCACTTATCCCCGAGAGGGCCTGCTGCACTGGGGGGGCGCACATGGAAGGTTGCACCTGGGGGTCCCAGATGGAAGATCACCCGTTCCAGGTCCCAATAATCACACGGAACGATTCCAGGATGATTCCAGAGCCTGGAACGGGTCGATGCCACAGCCGGCGGCATGGACTTCCAGGGTCCCGAAGCCGCGCGGCGACGGACCGCGCGGTGAGGTCGTTGGGGGTTCCGAGGTCACCACGCGGTCCGTCACCACAAGGTGTTGGGGCCCGAATTATCCCCTACCCCTTCCAGGGGCAACGTTGGAGGGGTTTTGACTCGATGCGGGAGGTGCGGACCCCCAATCGCCCATTGATGTTCGATGGGGGCCCCGATGGCCCACCCCGCTGAGGAACGCGAGGTTCTGCTGTCGGCGCCACGTCGCCGGTCCATTGGCGATGCGGCGCCGATTCGAGCTCGATGTTCCCTCCTCCTCCTCCTCCTCCTCCTCCTCCTCCTCCTCCTCCTCCTCCTCCTCCTCCTCCCTGCAGCCGGTTTGGCTCAAGCGAGCCTGGATCGAGCTCTGGCCCGAGGCGGCCGCCGCCCGTCTCGCCGCCGCCGTCGCCGCCAGAAGGGGCGACCGGCCCGCCGCGGCCAGGTCGGCGCTCGGCGTCCCCTGCGGCGGGGCCGTGGGGCTCTCCCGCTGGGAGGTGGCCGCCGACCGCGTCTTCCGCACGCTGCAGCTGCGCGTCCGGGACCTGGGCCGCCTGGCCGGGGCGCGCGGGGAAGTCGAGGGGCGCTCGGGCGGCCCGGCCCGGGTCACGCAGGATCTCCCGAGGTTGGTGCGGCTGCCCGAGCTGGGCCTGCCCGTGGAGTTGGCCCTGGCCAGCGGCTTCTTCGCCCCCGTCTGCGCGGACCAGCCCACCCTTGGCTTCCACCTCACCATCCCGCAGGATGCGCACGGCGGACTCACCGCGCCCTGAGCCAAGGGGAGAAAAGCACGATCGAGGAGCGGGTGGAGGTTGAGTTCGAACCGCTGACGGTCGTCACTCTTCCGACGGTGTTCCGCGCCGGCGAGACCGTGGCCGCCAGGCTCGAGGACGAGGTCCTCTGGGCCCTGCACACGGTCGACGGCTCCAGCAATGGTGGGGGCAAGATCCAGCTCACGCAGGTGTGCATCTGCAGCAACGTCAAGGTTCGGGACTTGAACATGGAGCTGGTTTGGAGCTGACAGTACGAGCAGGGCAAGTTCGGCAACCCCCACATCACGGTGCTGGCTCAGCGCTGCGACACTTCGGCCGCCCGGGTGCACTCAGGAGGCCGCCTCGAGGAGCTCATGGGGCGGGCGGAGATGGAGCCGCCGCTCTCCGGAGAAGGGAGCCTCGGCGCTTGTTGGCGGGTCTTCCAGATTCTGGACTTGGCTCCCGCGGCATCAGAGCCGCCCAACCCTTGTCCTTGATCCTGACTCGGGGAATACATTCCGCTTGCGTGCCAGCTCATTCTCTTCCTCCCCCTCCTCATGTTTAGGAGCGGCCCAGGGAGGGCAGGTCTCAATGGAATCCCTGCGGGGCGCCACACCGCTGGCTCTATTGGGCTCCCCAAGAGGGTCAGACAGTTTCGGGGCGCGGTAGTTGTTTGTACACTATCTGTACCGCCACCGCCTCCCATTATCATGATTGTCCATGGGGAGGCTTCTCCAAGGGGAGTTGTCTGGGGAGGGTCTGGATCCTTGTGGGATTGTCCAAGGGGTTGTCCGGGCCGCGTCGTCTTGCCGGCACGTGCACATGTCATTATCATACATACCATCAAAAGCATGGCACGACCAGGGAAGCTCAGCTGGAAATGCCGCCTCTTTCCCACTTCCCGTCCTGTCCGCTCCTCGACTCCCGTGCCCCCCTTCCGCTCCCGTTCGCACGCCCTCCCTTGCCGCGCTTCCTCAAACAGTTGTCCTGACTGGGGTCCTGTTGCGGTACTCTCGCCTCAACGCCGACCAAATGTTTGATTGGGTACGTATGGTGTTGCCGCTCGAGTGCCAGCAACATCCGTGATTGAGAATGGTACTCTCGCCGGAGCTCTGGGTATATCCCCGTCTGGGATAGGTGCTGTCGCATTCGCGCTGGCCACATGCCTCATCATTAGGCGTGATGCTATCGCCTCAGCGCCGGCCACATCCCTAAGTTGGGATGTTGCTGCCGCTCGAGCGCACTGGGTTGTCCAGGGGGGGGTCCGGGATGTTTGTTGGACAAGGTGTTTTTTCCATTGATCATAATACTGTTCTTCATTCCCCCTCCTCCTCCTCCTCCTCCTCCTCCTCCTCCTCCTCCTCCTCCTCCTCCTCCTCCTCCTCCTCCTCCTCCTCCTCCCCCCTTGGACTGGTCCCCCCTGCCGTTGCCCCTCGTCCCCCCTGGCTTCGCCGAGCAGAGCTCGGGGGCGCCCGTGGCTCCTGGCCCTGGCGCTCCACCACGCGCCCCTGCTCGCCTCGGACGCATTCCTCTCGTCGGCCAGAGCAGGAGCAGGAGCAGGACGAGGACAGGAGGAGGGAGGGGGGAGGGGGAGGCGGGGACGAAGAGGAGGAGGAGGAGGAGGAGGACGACGGGGAGGACGGGGAGTTCGATGCTTCCCCTCTTGAGCTGGTCCCCTCTAACGTTGCTCCTCACGCTTGCCCCGCCTTCGGGTCTGGGGCGAAGGCAGCCGCGGGCGCGGGCGCTCAAAGTGGGCTCTCCGCGGGGGGGAGGGGGAGAGGCTGCAGCGTCCCCCACATCCTCCCTGACCCTCCCTTCGATTCCACCTCCTCCCGCACCTTCCTTCCCTCCGTTCGATCCACCTCTTCTTCCTCTCTCCCTCTCTCCTCCTCGTGCATCCTTCTTGTCGTCCCCCTCCATCCCTCTTCCTCTAAGCAGCTCCACCCTTCGTTTGAAACCGCCAGCAGAAGGGGTGCATGGCCTGTGGTGTTCAACATGCGGCGCTCCCCTCGGCGCCGCGCACACTCGTTTTCAACGTACCCGACGACTACAAGTATGGAGGCAAGTTAATTGTCAAAATGAGATTATCGATTGAAAACGTGTTCAGATTGTACGACCCAGCGCTCCAAAATGCACAACAGCTGCACTAATACAGAGGGCGGCGCGTTTTCAAAAAGGCGTTCTCGCTTAAGACACCCGCAACTCGTACGGCCAGAATTTCGAAGTTACAGCCCCCACGCGGATGAAGGAACGGTCCCTAGTGTTTGTCAAGACGGAGCCATCGCTGGACACGTCCTCGAATCGTATCAAGGCGCACCCTTGCACTGCCGAGCAGAAGAATGGAGAGTGGATCCTTGACTTGTGCTCTCGCATGAGTTGCAGGCCGTCTGAGGGTCCGCCTCGTGGGAAGAGGTGCACGGCAGGTCCGTGCCGTGTCCACGCGGCGGCGACCCCGCCGCGGGCGTTCAGGGCTGAGCTCCGCCCGTGGCCCAGAATGCGTCAGCACAGCACGACTCGGCGATCTGAAAGCGATCGTTCTCTTTCCGTTGTTCTGCCGATGAGCGCGGGCCCTCGCATCTCTCCCCCCCGAGGACTGAAGCAGTGTCGAAGCGTCCCGGCTCGCCTATAGTCTATAGTCCCACCGAACAATGTTCTAAGAACTTTTTGTGGTGTCCACGAAGTTGTCTCAAAACATGTCTGGCGGGGACTGTCTTGTTTTAACATCGGTTTCTGTTCTAAGAACATCGCTTTGGTTCTTAGAACATTTTCGGGTTCTAAGAACATTTCGTGGTGGGCCTATAGAAATGCGGGAACGGTCGGTCCCTGCTCAAAATGGAGTAGATCTTGGCTGTTTTTGGCGCTTGTTTCGGGCAGGTGGGGTCTCCCCCATAGGACGCACGGTTGCAAGCAGTCGCACGAAGCAGAGGTCTGGAGCCAGACCCCCCTTCTCCCCTCCCCCTTCCGCCCAATGTCTAAACGCCGAATACGAAAATGCTAACAAAGCCGCCGATCGTTCCAGGTTGAACTTGAACGATCCACGCGGTGTCACGCGCCATCGCCGAAGACGTCACGACACCAAGCCGCCGTACCTGTAGGGGCCTCTGGGGGCGTAGATGACTCCTGGCGTCGTGCCAGGGGGGGCGGGTGGTTTGGGCGCATCGGTTGTTCGTCCTCCAGCCTTGAGGGGCCCAAGCTGTGGGGCGCACGTTTGCCCCACCCCTCCGCCCGCGCACGTCTTCCGTCGGTGTCTCTTGTCCGCTGTTCCCCGAACGAGCTTTAATGTGTCGTCATTGCGTCTTCACCAGGAGCCCCTCCCCACCTCGAAGCAGAAAAATTGTATACACACAATTGTTCGCACGGTCTCATCACCTCAACCCTTGGGCGCGGAGCGCCCAAGGGGCGTTGCCAGAGGCGGCGCCAGAATGTTGAGACAGCCCCGGCTTAGTCGGGAGCCCTGTCGAGGCCAGTTGGAAATGATTTTGGGGGCCTGATGAGGCCAGTTGGGACTACCTGGGGGGACAGTCTGTGCGCAACCCGAAGCCTTACCACCTGCCATCCCATCCCCCACCTCGTCGCCCAAAAGATACAGATGCCGCTTCTCCCCGGACCTCTCCCGGGGTGCGTTCTGATTCGAATTTCGAGGCCAACCCGGCCGTGGCGACGAGGGCCTCCAAGGAATGCCCACGAAGGCGACAACGAGGCAAGGGTAGCTGCGTCGGTACCCTGCTCCTCCGACCTCCCCTCGCCGCCGCTCCCACCGCCTCGCCGCCCTCTCCCACCAGGGCTGGGCCCACATGCTGCTTTGGTGGATTTCGGCTGTGTTTTGTTGTTCGTCCTGGCAGGGAGCTACAGGGAAACAGGTGGAGCAAAACGAAAGACAAAACGAAACACAGAACGAAAAAGCAACGTCTAGGTCCAGCCCTGTCTCCCACCCCTCGCCGCCCCCTCCCGCTTTTGGGCGGCGGCCCCCCGAGAGCGTTTCGGCTCGCGGGCGCGGGCCCCCCCGCGCGCCGAGCGGCGCGCGCGCGCGGGGGGGGCCTCTGCTTGGCCGCGGAGGCCAGGGGGGGCGATCAGACCCCTGGGGGGGGGAAGGATGGAGGGCTTCTCCGAAGGGCTCAGGCGACCCGTCCTCCGCCACCTCGTCCTCCTCCTCCTCCTCCTCCTCCTCCTCCTCCTCCTCCTCCTCCTCCTCCTCCTCGGGTCGCCTACGGCCCTGGGGGAAACCGTGCACGGAAGGAGGAGGATCGATTGACAGACCGCCGCTTGTCGGGTCGTAAGGTTTTCTGCAGCGCAGACTCCAGAGCTCCGCGAACCGAGATGTTCTGGGCGAGAGCTGGCGAGAGCGGGCAGCGGCAAGAGACATGCTAAAAGAGGGGTGATCGCTGGTGGATTTCGACACTCGTCCTCGATCATCTGGCTACATCAAGCGGAGTTGGCGCGGAGCGCCGCAAAAGATGGCCAGAAGGTTACAAATATTCAAGTGGCCTTCGGCCAGTGCCGCCGATCCCGGTCGCTCGGGGTTACCCCCCAGGCGCAGACATTACAGGCGCACGCTCAAACACACACGCACACCACATGCCACACGCGCACACTACTTTGTCGCTGCCTTTGGCCAGTTCCTGGCAGCGCCATTCCGCACTCGCGCGCGCGCGCCACCACGATCACTTTCCACAACATTGCCATTATCGTTTCTGCTCACCCCCCCCGACTGTTTATTTGTCTCTCGCGCGAACACGCCGCGCCCGGCACTCGCGCGCGAGCACCGTGCACACGCGCGCACACACGCACGCACGCCCACATGAACACAAACACACGACACACACACACACACACACATGGACACACCACCACGATACTCACGTACTCACCCATGTACACATGAATACCCGCACACACTCATGTCATATTACTACACACCACCCTAACCGCGCCACAGACATGCACACACCACCACACACACACACATGCCCACTCAGGAAACGCACGCGCGCGCACGCCCATCGGATACACATACCACGTACACACCTCACGCACGCACACTACCAAATGCACACGCGGCGCACACACATACAGAGACACATTTAGGCGCACGCCAGACACTAGCACGCACAGACACTCGCAGACCCGCACCACACACGCACCCTCGCACAGAAGCACACACCTGAACTCGTCTGGCCGTCATTTTTAGAGAGGTTCGGGGGGATGCGTGAAGCTTGCGTCTGTCCCCAATGTTTGGGACGACGCCGCGGCGGCAGCGCCGAAAGACCGGGGCGAAAACTAACAAACAATTGGCGAACATCTGCGACAACACATTTTTTGTTTTTTGGTCGCTTCTCTCCTCACCTTAGCTCGTCTGGGCGTGAATTCTGGACAGGTTGGCAGGGATGCGTGAAGCGTAAGTGCGGCCCGCAAATCGGGGACGACGGCCTGGAACCTGTCGCCGAAAGTCCTTCTGCAAAAGCACCAAATCCGCCACCCCTTGAGCGCATCTACAGAGGGTCCTTCTGCAAAAGCTGCAAAGCCCGCGCGCCACCCCTTGAGCGCATCTACAGAGGGTCCTTCTGTAAAAACACCCCCGGGAACCGCCGGAACCAACCCCCCCCCCCTCCCCGGCGAACCGAGCGTTCTGAGAGGATTTCTAAGGAAATCCAATGGTTTTGAAAGCAGACCCACGCCACCAGAACCCCCCCCTCCCCCCCCCACGCCACCAGAACCCACGCCACCGGAACCCTCCCCCCCCCCACACGCCACCAGAACCCACGCCACCGGAACCTTCCCCCCCCCCTCCCCGGCAAACCAAGCGTTCTGAGGCGGTTCCCAAGGAAATCCAACGGTTTTTAAAAGCAAACCCACGCCACTGGACCCCCCCCCCACCAGAACCCACGCCACCGGAACCCCTCCCTCCCCCCCCCACGCCACCAGAACCCACGCCACCGGACCCCCCCCCCTTCCCCCGCCCTCCCCCTCCCCAACAAAGCCACCCCGGTCACCCCCACCCCCTTAAACTCACACGCCGGATCGGCGGATATAACATAGTCGGTGCTATTCTGAGCATCGCCAGCCCGACGCTCGTCCGCACGCCGATGGAGTGCCGCGAGGCCGCCACAGCGGAGACCTCGCTCACGAATCCGTCTTCATTGCCATGGTCAGGTAGCCCCCCTCTGTCTCGAGCTTCGTCAAAGTGCCTGCCAATTGTACGGACGTGTCGCACCATTCTAAGTCAACTCCACCCTGGGAAAGCATCTCTCGCAGGGCTGCTGTGACCACCCGAACTCGACGTTCTGTAATCTGGCCGGCATCCGCGAGGAGGTGGGTCACTAGGCTGTTCGCGTTGCTGTACCATTTGGCGGGGATCAGAGCCGCCATGTCATCAATCAAGTCGCCGAGCGGCTGGTGGGGCTTGTCCATCTCTCGGGCTCGGATCCACTCCGATGTATCAGCTCCCTCAGTGAGACCGCGGGCTTCAGCTCCCATCGAGGCTCTACACACTCTCTTGGTCCTAGAGCTACCCCAGTCCGAGAAGTGAGCCATCCCTCGCTGTACTTGCAGAGGCCGTCGTCCGAGATCACGCACACACGAAGCCGAGCTGGGACTGCACCTCGCCAAGCGGGCCTACAGTCGGCCCAGATTAGTAGGTCGACCCTGCCGAATCAAGGGTACCATTGTGTCCTGTGTCTCGCGAATGTTTCCTACATTCCTGTGGCAATGTGGCCCTCGGAAGGGTCTTGTGTCCTCTCGCGTGTGTCCAATCGAGTCCGACTGTAGGGTCAGGTCGTCGACGTTGTTGAGGCGGTGGTCCGAGAACACGATAGCACGCAGGTCTCGTGCGAATTGAAGTACATCCCTTCGGAAGCAGAGGCACACGTCGCGCGTATTGTTGCAGCAGTTCACCAGCTTGTGCATCTCCAGTAGATGTTGCACGGTGTCCTAGTTCTTCTGTTGCGCCAGCCAATTGCAGCCGAACGAGAGGTCGCGCATAGCTGCCTCGAAAGCCATCCGAGTGAGCCGATCACTGACTCTGCGAAACTCTTTTCGTCATCCGTAGGCAACGCCTTGGTCTGCTTCGACCGGGCACTGGACATCATCAAGGTCTCCATCGCATCTATGAAGTTGGTCATGCTGATCTTTATCGAGAAACCCGAGACCTGCTCGACGTCCTTGCCGCAGTATCGGAACGGTGTCTTCTCCTCCGCCAGTAACAACGCACGCTTCAGCTCGTCCATCGCGGTCTTGAACAGGTCGCTGTTCAGATCGCCCGTCGCGAACAGGTAGTCCGCTTAGGTCCCGACTAGGCCAACGAGCTTGCCATCTTCGACGAGGAGGAAGAAGGCTCGTTCCAAGCTGCTTTCCTGCCACGACTGCCGCGTATCGTCCTCCGAACACGTCCTCCTAGCGTCCTTCGTGCGGTAGATCGCGCCGTGGCACACGAACACCGAACCAGCAGGCACTCCAGCTGGTACAGATGAGGGTGGACAGCACGAGCATCCGACCCACGTCGTCTCCCTGTAGGTAGGCACTCGTGGCGTTGAGCTTGAGTATTGGCCAGTGCTTCCTGGCCGAAGTGCTGCAGATCAGGTGTAGCACCAGCAGCGACGATGTAGGGGGTCCGTCCTGACGTGGACCGACTCGTAGCAGCCGACCGCTACTAGCCGAGACTTCGCCTTCATGGGCAAGTTCGGGTCGTACTCGTTCTTGTCAGTGTGAACCCATCTCGAGGGGATCGCTTGGACCGTCCGAAGAGCTCCTTGGCCGCGTCGGCCGTGACCACGGTCACCGCTCAAAATTGCACAAGTTCTCCCGCTCCTTCGGCAGATTCGCATCGAACATGAGCCTATCCGCTTTGGTGAAATTGGCGAGCACGAACTCCGTCCTTCGGGACTTCCCGACCAGCCATGCGTGGCTGATCCAGGAGTGGTAAGATGCGTCTGAGTCGTACTCGACAAGGTGGGCACCAGCCATGGGGTCCTTCCGATCTCGATGCCGCCGCGGCAGCGTCCTCTCGGGCCTGCAGGCCAGAAAGTCAGGCGGAAAGTCGCCACTCTCGGGAAACGGTGGAGGATTTGCAGGCTCGGGTATGTCTTTCGTGTGGGGCTCGATCGCATCACCACCACCATCACCACCATCATCACCACCATCATCACCACCATCATCATCATCATCATCAGCATCAGCATCAGCATCATCATCATCATCATCATCATCATCATCATCAGCATCATCATAGTCATCATCATCATCATCATCATCATCATCATCATCATCATCATCATCACCATCATCATCATCATCATCATCATCATCATCATCATCATCATCAGGTATAGGTACGTCCTGGCCAGACCAAGCCATGACCATCTTCTCCCTCCCTGCTGCCATCCCGCTCCGTGCCGGCCGGGACCGCCAAGGCGAGCAGGATGGCGCCGATGAAGCCTCTGATCGGGCAGGCCCCCTCCCGCTTTTGGGGAGCAGGGGGGGGGGGCTCTGCTGCGAGGGGGTGCACGGGCGAGGATCGAGGATCGAGGAGAGGAGGAAGAGAAAGTTGTATGAACATGAATTTTCAGAGATCTGCGTGGAGTTCTTGGATCGGCGCTGGGCCCCCCTGGCGGTGCCTCCGGCGGCGCCCATGGCGCGCTCTGCGCACCAGGGAGGGGGCCCAACGCAGTTCCAAGAAATCAGCGCGGACCTCCGAAAGCGTATATTTATGCAGTGGCATGTTCCTCTAGCGGAGGAGGATCGAGGGAGGGAAAACCTCCCCGACCCCCATGATTGGCGTTTGCTAAATAATCCTTGGGCGTTTATTGGACAGTCCTGTCCCTTTGAGCTCCTCCCTCAGGTGCGCTTACTTGAAGGGGTGTTGTTTTATGTGGGGGATTGTTATGCCCTCCCAGATGAGGGAGAGTTAGAGCAGGGGGAGCAGGAGGAGAAGCACCATGAAGCAGCCCTCTGGGGGCTCGGCATCTGTGCTGTGCACGGGCTGGCGCAAAGAAGCGAGGCGCCCGCCTGTGCGAGGGAGTGCTCTCGACGCAGGAGATCGCGTTCCTCTACGCACACCTCCGGGGCGCACATGCTAACGCATCGAAGGAAAATGCGCGATTTGGTAGGCCAGCAGCCCCTGAGCGGGAACGGTTTCGGTCGACGCCCGTCGGCGCAGGGCTTGCGACCCGCATGGAGTCGCGCGGCCGTCGCTTGTGCGCTCGGGCAGCTTGGTCGAGCGCATCGTCAGTGTCCGTTGCATCGCGCCCCGGACCTCTCGTCCTCCGCGTACGCACCGCGCCGCGCTGGCGTCTCCCGAGACGACGTTGATCCTCGACCCAGTAACGGTACAGTCAAAACCGGAGTGAATGATGGGCATTTTCCCGGAAAGGGCTTAGGCGCAGGGTTCTCTTTTAGTTGTTTCCCCCTGGCCTCGACTTGCGTAGGGCCGGCGAAATTAATATGCGATACAACGGGGTCGCGTAGGGTGGACGAAGTAAAAGTTGAGGACGTCCCTAGCGAAACGCTTGTTGCTGAAATCCCGATCGACGAATCACAGGGTGCGGGACACAGTTTGGTCGAAGAAATGTTCTCAGCCTGTGTTTTGACGTATGTTCCTATAGATTGGCTTTCTCCAGGGTCACGAACCCATGTGTTTTGGTTTTAGAAACCCGAACACAGCATAATTTAAAAGGGAACGTGGCCCTGGGAGAGCGGACGCAGCGTAGTTGACGAGGGATCGTGGCCGAGGGAGCGCGGACGCAGCGTAATTTATGATGGATCGTGACCCTGGGAGCGCGGACGCAGCGTAATTTACAAGGGATCGTGGCCATGGGAGCGCGGACGCAGCGTAATCTATTGGAGACCGCGGCCTTGGGAGCGCGGACGCAGCGTAATTTACGAGGGAGCGCGGCCTTAGGAGCGCGGACGCAGCGTAATTGACGAGGGATTGTGGCCCTGGGAGCGAGTGCGGACGCATTGCAATTTATGATGGATCGTGGCCCTGGGAGCGCGGACGCAGCGTACTTCACAATGGATCGTGGCCTTGGGAGCGCGGACACAGCGTAATTTACAAGGGATCGTGGCCCTGGGGGGGCGGACACAGCCTTATTCACGAGGGAGCGCGGCCCTGGGAGCGCGGACGCCGCGCAGTTTGCGAGGGATCGTGGCTTGGGGTTTTGAGAAGGCCCCGCCCCCGCCCCCCTCCGCGCCTTCTGAAGAAGGCCGCCCTCTTTCCTGCTCCCCCCAGCCCCACCCCCTAGCTGCGCGCCGCGGTGCCGGAGCCGTGAGGGTCACGACCGCCTCGCCGCGCAAATTTTCCGAGCTCCGCGCTGATTTATTGGATCGGTGATGGGCCCCCCTCCCAGGCGCGCGGAGCACGCCAAGGGCGGCGCCGGAGGCGCCGCCAGGGGAGCTCCAGCGCAAATCCAAGAAATCCGAGCGGAGCTCCGAAAGTTTCCGTTGATGCAGTGTTTTTGTTCTTCGACAGTTGCGCCTTGCACACCCCCCACCCCCTGGACGGCCCCAAGAAGCACTTCAGAGGCCCCAGAAAGTGGTCAGGGAACCCGGGAAGCTCTTCGGAGGCCCCAGGAGGCCCGTCGCAGGCGCTCTGTCGGCGTAGGGGGGTGTCTAGGCCTCGGCCCGCAGCCGCCCCCCCCCCCATTCTGCCACACTCGACGATTCACAGCCTCCGTAGCTCTCTGGGCCACGCGATGCGCCCAAACGGGCCGCGCAGACACCTCTCCCCAGACGGCCAGGTCAAGGGCCTCTTCGAGCAGGCGCTCCGCAGCGCCTTCCCGTCGGTGTCGCACGAGGCCTCCGCGCGCCCCGGCGCCGCCTGCCCGGTGCCGGCCAACACTGCGTACGTGCCTCGGTCGATTCGGCTTAGCGCACAAGTGACCCTTCGCCGGAGTGACACATGTTGCCAAGGGCGCCCTCGAGGGCGCGAAGTTATTCGCGAGTCTTGCTTCGCGGTGCGGCTCCGATTCCTCCTCATCCTCTATTTTTCCTTTGGGGGGGCGGCGCGAGAGCGCGAAGTGATTCGCGCAGCGCGAAGCGCGAAGTTGGGCGCCTTTCTGGTGCGGGCTCGCCAGACCCCCTCGGGTCATGAAAAAACCGTCAAGTGTTGACTTTTGGAGTCGATCGATGGCCCTCAAGACGTGAGGGCATTCCGGGAAGGGCCTCGCCTTCGAGGACCGAAGGAGTTGCTATCTCTTGCTCGGTGGAAGGCGGTGGAGGGGAGGGCGGTGGAGGCTCGCGGAAGTAGAACGAGGCCGCCTCCGCTGGCGGAAGCCAGCGGAAGTAAAAACAAAGCGTTTTCAAGAGATGACAACATTTCGGTGGTCAGGGTTCCCAGAACCGGCCACGTGTGTTAGCCTTTAGCCCAATGCGCGTTTACCCTGGTCAGCTCCGTCGATAGCCCGCAGCCCGTGTTGGCCTCGTTGCCTACGCCGCCCGCGTCGCATTAAAGGGCTGCGGTGGATAAGCACAGGTTGGCGGCAGCACACGTCCTGAGGATCAGATACCCACGGGGGTCTTCTCGCGGCCCTGGCGGCCCCGGCACGGCCGCCCACGACCCGATTCGGTACGATCTGAGTCGCCGGCTCGGGCCGCGATTCCGATTCCATTCGATTCGCCGGCATCGGTCGGGGCCAGCTGGAGCCGGGCGTGGCGGTCCGATCTCGACTCGGGGCGACCCGTTGGCAGCCCGATCCGTATCCGACCCAAGCCGATGTCGCGACTCTCGGCGGCGAGCGAGGGGGGGAAGTGAAAAGGAGAGGGCCTTCTCAGAAGGTTCGGAAGTCCCCCGGCCTTCTGAGAAGTCTTCTGAGCCTTCCCCGAAGACGGAAAAATCTCCTCGGAGGGCGCGAGGGCTCCTGAGAAGTCCCGCCGCCTCCTGAGAAGGCCTCCTCCTCCCTTCCCCCCCTCGCTCGCCGCCGAGGCTACACCCCGCTCGGGCCGGCCGGGCTGGGCCCCCCCCCCGCGGCCTCTCCGGCGCGCGCTGGGGCGCTGGGCTCTGGCTGTCTTTCGCTTCGTCGGCTCCCGGGGGCCTCCCGTGCCGCCTCGCCGAGGGCGTTCGGGGTGCCCGACGTTCAAGGATCAGTGAGCTCTGGTGTCGACCCAAGGATCAAGCAGTGGCGAGGCGTCCTGGCTCGCCTATAGGCCCCCCAAAGAATGTTCTGAGAACCTCTTGTGGTCTGCACGACACGTTCTTAGAACGCTTCTGGCTGGGACTGTCCTGTTTCAACACATCGGGCTTTTCTTCTAAGAACAATGCTCTTGTTGTTTACTTTGGGGTTCTGAGAGCATGTCGTGGTAGGCTTATAAGAATGCCGGTACGGTCGGTCCTTGCTCAAAAGAAGGGTGTCCAGCGACACGGGGGTGGTGCAATGGATCTATCGGGGTGCAACAGATCTGGGGCGTGCAACACGTTCTGGTGCGCAGATGTCCTGCTGGGTTCTTGCGCGCAATACGTTAGTTGCAGCACAATGGAAGACAATTCTCTGGCGCAATACATTCGCAAAACAATTGCCCAGAACCTATTGCATCACCCCCTTTCAGCTGGACCCTCTTTTGGGTCAACCGCATTAGCGCTCGCTTCTGGAGGTATCTGATCGTCCTGGAGCGCCCTCGTGGCCGCGGCTGGACCCGCCTCGAAATTCTGGGCAGGACGCACCTCACGAGAGATCCAGGGGTCGATTGCTGAGACCTTACGGCCGGTGCCGCCGACCCTGGAGGACGACCCTCATGGGGGAGGAGGGAGGCAAACATGATGGGGGAGGTCGGAATGAGACGCTCTCAAGAGTTTTCGGGAGCAGCACTGGTTTGCCTTGGGGGGCGTCTTCAGAAGACTACAGAAACCTTGGCAGACAGGTCTTGACATTCTTCTACGCCTCGAGTTGCAGGAGGTGCGGTGGCCACACTCGCCACCGCCGCCACCGGCGCCGTAAACAATACGAGCAGGAAGAATACGAATAATAGTAGTAGTAGTAGTAGTAGTAGTAGTAGTAGTAGTAGTAGTGGTGGTCGTGGTCGTGGTCGTGGTCGTGGTCGTGGTCGTGGTCGTGGTCGTGGTCGTGGTCGTGGTCGTAGTCGTAGTCGTAGTCGTAGTCGTAGTCGTAGTCGTAGTCGCAGTCGTAGTAGTCGTAGTCGTAGTCGTAGTCGTAGTCATAGTCGTAGTCGTCGTAGTAGTCGTAGTAGTCGTAGTAGTCGTAGTGCTACTCCTACTACTACTACTACTACTACTACTACTACTACTACTACTACTACTACTACTTCTACTACTTCTACTACTTCTACTACTTCCACTACTACTACGACCAGGAGCAGTACCAGTAGTGGTCGCAGTGGCGCTCTCGGGGTCTTCTGGGGGGCAGTTTGTGGGCATATTATTGGTTGGGGGGCCTCGTGGGAGCCTCTTGGGAGCCTTTTGGAGCTTCCTGGGGGCCTCTCGGGGCCTCTTGGGGCCTCTTGGGGGCCTCTTGGGGGCGTCTTGGGGCCTCTTGGGAGCCTCTCGGGGCCGATGGCTCGAAATGTTCGTTGGGGTCCCCCGTCGGGGCGCCTTCTTGGAACCGTCTTGGTGGCCTCTTCGGCCATCTTCGCGGCCTCTTGGGCTGTCTTAGGGCCCTCTTGGGTAGTCTTGGGGCTCTCTTGGAGGCCTCTTGGGGTGTCTCCTAGCGTCGGGGAGCCGAAAAGGCGAGAACGCCAAAAACCTTCCAACACTTTTTTAGGGAAAATTAGCATATTTTCCCTGTTCGGGCTCTTTGGGAATCGTCTTGGAGGCTCTTGGGGCGACTTGGAGGCCTCTTGGGCAGTGTGGAGGCTATCTTTGCGTCCGGAACCGATCGTTCGGCGATTCGGGGCCCTCTTGGACCATGTTGAGGGGCTTTTGGGCCATCCCTGGCTCGTCTGGAGGCTTGCGTTGGTCCCGGGACTCCCCGAGGGAGATGGCATTCTGACTCGGGACCCCCCCCACCCCCGTAGAGGTTTATCTCCGCCCCCTGGAACATGTGTTGTTTCTGCGTATGATCAATCAATTTACTCCTGTGGTTTTGGGGCCTGCTACAAGCACACTGAAAACCAATTGGCATATTCTCGAAATCGAATCTGGATGCATTTGCATCTGGTTTGCACCATCCCGATGTGACTTCTATTGGAGTCAACTTAAGATCCTCTAGATCTGGGTTCTACTCAATTCCCATTGACATCAAATTCGGAATCTTCTGGATCTGGGATCTTCACATCGACCATTGACAAATTCACATAACATCAAATACCGAACGGTTCTGCAACGAATTCGCTACCGTTTGAGTTCCTCTGAGTTTCTGAGTTGAGGGCCAACGACGTTTTGTTGCAGAACGGGCATTGTTGAGCTACGCACAGGGGCACTCCAGCGAATGGCACCGCAGGCAAACGCAAGTACGCATCAGCCCCTGAACAGCGAGCTCGAGCAGTTAAGTCATGAGGTCACAACACGAATTGAAGAAAAAGAGCTCTAGCGCGCGAGGAAGCTTCAATTCTTACTCAATGCATGAGGGCTGTTCAGGAAATCGCAGAGCAGTTCAAGTAAACGCAATGGATAAGTTTAAATTCAACTTTCGATTGCAATTGCAATGAAAAGGTTAATCCGCAGCAAAGGGCGCAAAAGGGGACAAAAAGGGACAAAGATAAACAAGGTGACAAAGGGGACAAAAGAGGACAAAGAGGGGACAAAGGGGACAAAAGGGACACCGTCGAGGAATCAAATTTCTTACTTCCTGCGGCGCCGCGCTCGGGGAGCACCCGAAAGCACCTGAAAGGCACTCCGAAGGCACCCCGAGGGCACCCGGTAGGCACCTCGAGAGCACCTGGAAGGCACCCACAACATCCCGAAAATATATACGACGCTCATGAAACATGCCAACTGAACACCCGCAGGATGCCCTGAAGAAGTTCCCGCAGCGCCACCGGCAAGCAACGGGAATGCATCCGAAAGGCACCCGAAGGCCACCCGACAGGCACCCGCAATCGGCTCCTAGGCGAAGTATGAGGAAATTGTTTTCCTGGAAAAATGGTGAACGTTCAATTGAAATTAGCGCGCCGAACAAGAAAAAACAAAACAAAAAAAAAAAAAAAAAAAAAACTTGCGCCTAGTGGCCCAGGAGCCTCATTTTGAACCGCCCAAACCAACCCAAAAATTACAAAAAATACACATAAGTTCCCCCTTTTAGGGTCTCGAAAAGCTCCCGTGGGCGGCGGCGGGCGCTTGCAGTCGTGAAACGTGCGCGCGGTCTCTGGGAATGCGCATGAGAGAACACTTTTTACAGCTTTACATAATCTATGATTCTCACTATCATGTCGAGTTTCGTCGCTCTCTATCTCCCCCTCTATCTCTCTATCTTTCTCTCTCTCCCTCTCTTTCTCTCTTTGTCTTCGTCGTCGTCCTCCTCCTCCTCCGTCTTCCACGTGAGTTCTTTTGAAGTTCGTATCTAAAGGGATTTGCGTGTAATCCGCCACAGAGGGAATCCTTATGTAATCCGCCGCAAGAAGGAATCTTTTGGAATCCGCCACGACAAGAATTCCTTTCAGGCGGACGTGCAAGTTAACCGACGGCTCAAGGGGTACCAGTGGGGGAAAAAAATGGATTCTCACGTTTTTTGCTGAATTTCTGCCTGCGTACCCCCGCCACAACAGAAATCCTTTTGTAATCCGCCACAGAAGGAATCTTTTTGGAAGCCGCCACAAAAGGAATCCTTTTTTGGAATCTGCCACAAAAGGAATCCTCTTGTAATCCGCCATAAAAGGAATCTTTTTATAATCCGCCACAAAAGGAATT